TGTGTGTGTGTGTGTGTGTGTGTGTGTATTTGTATTCACATGTGTCTGTCTGTCTGTCTTTACTAGGGATTGAATTCAGGGCCTGATACATGCTCAGCAAGCTACCTTGGTGACTTGGTGACTCTATCACCAAGCTACTTCTCCAGCCTATAATATTAAGAAACATGGGATAGAAACCGGGTAAGCCATCCTGGGCAGAATGCTTTAGCAACAGCTGTGTGTCCATCTTGACCAACCATGAGCCTCCTAATGGGGTCTTCCCTTTGGAGAGTTCTGGGAGTCATGCCCTGATCTGTGGTTTAGGGTTTGTGTTGGAAGGCATCCGAATGTGAGGCTGTGGGTTTCCTGAGCAACCCTAAATTGTTTTCACCCAAGGCTAAGTCGTGTGACTAGATGCTTTAAATAGAGCGTTCGCAGATCCTTTCGCACTTCACCAAAGAGTTGGATGATTTTTATTAGTGATTTTCAAAAACTGAAATCAGTAGCTCCCGCTCTGCCCCTTCATCAGCAGAATGATAGAGTTCTCTGGTTTGCTTCCCGTTGGGAACGTAGTCCTGCAAATCCTTCCCTGAGGAAAAGAGCAGGATGAACCTACCAGTGAAAAAGAAGCTATAATCTCACTTCACAGGTAATGAGGAGTTCCCAGCTCAGTAATCTGACCCCCAAGCAAGACCTCCTTTACTAAAAAGCAGCTGCTGAGAAATGTGATGGCTTCTGGCTCCAGGCAGAAGCTGTATTTAAGAGATGGTACTAACTTGGGGCGAGGGAGGAACGCTTGGCAAAAGCAGATGCCCTTCACATTTGTGGAAGCCGGGAGTCTCGGGAAGGAAGAAGAGGCACGCTTAAACAACAGAAGTTATGTTTTCCTTCTGCCCGGCTTTTGGTGAGATGTCCATATGTGTTTGTATGGATGCAGCACTAATCTAAGACTGAACTATGCAATCAAACAGCCTAACTATATATGTGTGTATCGTGTTTAGATATGGTAGTGGTTGACTAAGTTGTTACAGGAATTCTATGTTGTTTTTCACATAGCAGAGCTAAATGGAATGTGAAAAGCTAGTCCTTAGCTGCAATATGAAGGTGGCACATGACTAGGAACCCGGAAGTGAGGCCTCATTGCTTCCATGTCTGGCTTCCTCCATCAGCCCCTAAAAATGAGAGGCATTCCCTACAAGGGACTCGCTGCATTTAGGGGCTTAATCAAGACCATCATGCAAACTGTTTGCATCCCTGATATGATGGAGAAGGAAAGCAGGAGGAGAATTAAAGCATAATCCCATGAAGTTATGGCCTGTTTAGCAGCTCGCAGAAGAACTCTGAGAGGGACAGCTATGGCCCAGTTCACAAAGATGCCAATGGGGCAGACATAGACCCTGAAGGAAGGACCATTGTGATGGCTGTGATTTAAAATATATTTTTTTTAAAAAAAAAGTGAAGTTTGTCCATTGTCTTAAACAGTGCTTTCTCTTGGCCACCTCTACTAATGCATTGTTCTCCATTAGAAGACAGGCATCTCTTCGAGAGCTTCCTAGACTCTGGGAACGGCAGCATGAGTGTAGGGGAACAAGTGACAGACTCTAGAAGTAACGTACAAAAAGGGTGCATGAAAATATAAGTGTTCTGAGGAAGACGCAGTGTCTATAGGAAGGAAGCCAAGGATGGGTGGCCACTGTACAGAACAGAATGTCGGTGAGGTGCTGTCTGAGGAGATGGGCAGGCAGCAAGTCAAAAAGAACCCCAAACGTAGGGAGTGCAGTGCACAGACGGGGCAGGGTGCATGTGCCTTTGGAGTTAAAGAAACACACACACACACACAAAAGGCAAGGTTGCTGTGCGAAGGTGAGAAGTGGTGGCAGGTGAGTCCTGTGGGGCTCGTTCTGGTGACATTTTTCTCCAAGGGCCTTGCTGGGCTTGGCCAAAACTCAGGTGGTGAGCGTCCTGAGAAGTTACATAGGTGTTTGAGAGGAGGAAGTGGTAGAGTTTCTTTGTGGTTTGGATGTGGGTAGTACAAGAGGATGAAGAAAGGAGACTGTGATTCCCAGGGATCTGAGCTGAACAACTTGAAGAATAAGGATGGGGAGGGAACAAGGGAGGCAGCAGCAGAAAGTGTTTCTCTCATGATTGAGGTTGAGCTGCTGAGGAGACGCCCAAATGGCTGTATGTTCAAATAACAGGGTAGCCAGTATCGAGCCTATAAAGTCCTGAGATGCCCGTCTCCCAGAAGGCGAGGACCTCTGCTTTATACAAGTCCTCTTTCACAGTCTCTCACACTTAGTACACGCTCACTGCACACTCGCAGGGAGTCGAAGCTGCTCCAATGGGAATGTTAAGTCACCTCTTTACCACATTGTAATATCACTGTTCATGTAGGGCGAGATCAGGAGGCAGAGAGGAGAGGGAATGTTGGGTGTGGGAATGGGGTCTGGTCTAAAACCTAGATTCATTCTTAATTCTATTGGCTAATCGCTGTACTATTAGGAATATGATTTTACCATTTACAAAGTTAGAACGCTGAAATGCCGCTGCTCATTTCGCTAGTATGTTATAAGCATGAAAGAATATTTTTGCAAAGTCGGAGCATTTGGGAAATCATAGGCACAGGTCCACACCTTCCTCATGGAGCTCATTGGCATCTTAGTCTGACCAGTATTTACCATAACTACAGCTGGGCTTCTGAGGCTCCTGCGAGCCTTACAATTGAACTCTTCAGTGGGTATTTTGTCATGACTGTAGGTCAGGAATGGTTTAACGGACCCTCTACAGAGCAGGTATTTAGTAAAATATTTTTAGTGATAAATGGACTTTACACTTGTCTGCCCAGGTCTGAGTACGCTGAGTTCAACTGCTGTAGCAGTTAGCACCCCTGTTTCAGGGTACAGCTGCAGGGGTGGAGGCTGGTAAATAGATACTTATTTTTCATTCTCATCTGGCCCTTGCGTGTTTGGGTTAAATAAAACACTCACTGTGGCCTAGGGAGATGGCTCGGTTGGTAAAGTACTTCCCATGCAGGTACAAGGACTTGAGTGTGATCCCCAGGCCCATGTGAGTAAGGAGGCCTGCCTCTGTCATCCCAGCACTGACAGAGGCTGGGAGGCAGAAATAGGTTCCTCAAGGCTCGCTGATGCACTCCAGGCCATTGAGAGACCCCGTTTCAAAAGAAAGCAGAGGTGGATTGCTGCAATCACAACGTCCTGTCTAGAAGCTAGCATTTCACAGTGCTCCTCCTCCATGATGTGTCCTGAACCTTGGGGGCGGGGGTGGGGCTTAACATAGGCATCCTGTCTATAGCTGACCACTCAGTCCCTTGCTCTCAGCACTTTGACTTTTGTGCTTTAGTACGGTAGCAGGCAGCTGCTGTGGTAGGAGGAATCATGGAGGGTGTGGCCACTGATGACTTTCCTATGTGCAGGGGATGGGCAGCACCTGGACACATAAAGGGGATGCTACATAGTCTTAGTGGGTTATAGATTTTAAAAAGACATGAAGTTTGAAGGGAGGTTAGAAGGGGAAAATGGAGAGTTGTGTATCTGTGTGTGTGTGAGGGAGAGATTTTTTTAAAAGAGAACTTAATCAAGACAAAGCATCAAAAAGGGAACGAAAAAGTGAGTGAGAATCTGAAGAACTCTGGCCTCTGCACACATGCATTTACACGCCCTCACACCAATGTGTGGGTGCATGCAAAAACCACACACGCACCATTTTCTAATATCTCCTTCCTTCTCTCTCCCTCTGCTTCTGTTTCCACAGGTCAGTGTTGAAGTTTTGGTAGAGTATCCTTTTTTTGTGTTTGGACAGGGCTGGTCATCCTGCTGTCCTGAGCGAACCAGCCAGCTCTTCGATCTGCCGTGTTCCAAACTCTCCGTTGGGGATGTCTGCATCTCGCTCACCCTCAAGAACCTGAAGAATGGCTCTGTTAAAAAGGGCCAGCCTGTGGACCCTGCCAGCGTCCTGCTGAAGCACGCGAAGACGGACAGCCTGGCTGGCAGCAGACACAGATATGCTGAGCAAGAAAACGGAATCAACCAGGGAGGCACCCAGGTACTCTCTGAGAATGGTGAACTGAAGTTTCCAGAAAAAATTGGATTGCCTGCAGCACCCTTCCTCACCAAAATAGAACCGAGCAAGCCCACAGCCACGAGGAAGAGGAGATGGTCAGCCCCGGAGACCCGCAAACTGGAGAAGTCAGAGGACGAGCCACCTTTGACTCTTCCCAAGCCTTCGCTCATTCCTCAGGAGGTTAAAATCTGCATCGAAGGCCGATCTAATGTGGGCAAGTAGAGACAGTGCCGGCAGCGGAGGCCTGGGCCTCCCTTGCTGTCTGTATCCCAATTACTGTACTGTAGGCTAAATAACACAGTATTTACATGTTATCCTATTACTTTAGGTTTGTGTTCTAACCTTGTCATTAGAGTCACACAGGTGTGTCGCAGGAGACTGGTGCATTTGCAATGTCTGCGAGTGTCTGTTGAGCTGGCGGGGTGAAGAGGGGTTAGAACCGTGGCCATGGAGCTCCCGGGCATCCTAGGTGGCCCTGAATGTGGCTTTTTCAGAACCTGCCTTCTCCAGCAGCACAGAGCCAAGGGGCATCAGTTCTCACTGGTTTCAAGAGCAAATTCAGTGGGAAGTGACCTGCAAGGGTGTCTGGGTGTGTCCCTGTGAAGGGGTGCGTGGGCGCCATGGTAGCGAGTGACGGTCCCTTTTTCTGCCTCCCTCTCCCATGCTTGCTCACTCTCGGCATGGGATTGGGGGACCTGGGTTTCCTACATGCAAAGTCATCCTCAGGAACCCGATTTCAGGGCATCATGGGGAGGCGTCAGATGACAAACAGGAAACTAGTTTCAAAGAACGTGGTTCTCTCCAACATATTTTACAATAAAAAGCAACTTTTAATCATATATATATATATATATATTTCCCCCCATGGGGCCTGACTGCACTGAGATTTTTTTTTTTAAAGCAGCTGCCACGCGTGGGATTTCCTTTCTGCTTTACCAGTCCAGTGACTCAGTGACGTCATCAGGTGTCATGTCATGGTGGGCAGGTCACCCCTGGTCAGGGGGGTGGCAGTGGGGCTGGGGGACGGAAGGAGTACCCACACTGGTCTCTGTGCAGTGTTAGGAAAACCAATCAGGTTATTTGCATTGACTTTTGCTCCCAGAAAGAAAATGAAGCTCCCCTCCGGAGAGAGGCAGGCAGCTCTCGGAGCTGAGCCGGCAGCTTCTTTTCCGTCTTTTAGGTCTAGTACTGTTTCTAGTTCATGACTATGGACAACTCCGGTGCCACCTTTCTCTCTCTCTCTCTCTCTCTCTCTCTCTCTCTCTCTCTCTCTCTCTCTCTCTCTCAATCCCAGTGTGACACGGAGAATTAGATCCGGAAGACGCACACCTGTTACTAATCTTCAGCCGTCTAAAGTGCTGTGCAGACTTTTCTTAGCCAAACACCTTGGTCTGTCAGTCGGCGAGAGTACTGTATCTAACTTGAAACTCTTTGGCAAGAAAAGACAAGCCTAAGTTGCTTTTGATTTTTTTTTTTCAACACTGTAACTACTTTTCAGCTCTGCAGGACTGCTCACGAGCCAGAAAAGCTCCAATCTGGTGTAAAGGGATGAATGTGAATTATGAACTAGTACGTGACAGTAGATGACCACCAAGTACTACGGCAGGCACTTGTCACTTTGGTGTTGGAGAAAGAGCTAAAGGCACATGCAGAGTTGGCAGAGGAACTGGGAAAACACAGGGAGAAAAAGACACTCGTTTTTGTCCAGTGTTTTTAGGGTGAGCTCCTAAAGAACTTTGCGATTTGCACATCTTGAGATTTTAGTTTGTGTGATATTCCTGCAGTTTTTATCCAATAACGTTGTGGGAAAGGTTTGGGGGGGGGGTTGTCGAACGAGCATAAATAAATGTAGCAAAATTACTTTCTAACCTGCCTAGACCCTAGGCCATTCTTAGAAGGTTCTGTTCCTTTCAGGGTCATTTTGTCACCTGCCACATCTGTCATGAGAAGTCAGGTCTGAGAATTTTTTTCAGAATCACTGAGAGTTTCCCATATAGACATTTTATACATGTGAGCAAGTGGGATTTTTTGTTTGTTTGTTTCTGGAAAAAATGTGTTAATATTATTTTTCAGAATGATTTTTTTTTCTATTTGAAATCAAACCAAGATTTAATGTTTGGTACAAAAACCCAGAAAGGGTGTTTCATGAAGTCACAAGTTTTCATTCCCAGAGATCAAAATATCATTTGCGGGTTCTGAGTGTGTCTTAAAGTGCTTTAAACCGAGTTTTATAAATAGAAAGAAGTTTTTAAATATTCTTACTTGGTTGCAACTAACCCAAATAAGTACTTATTTGGCTTTTCTTTTAACCATTAAAAAACAAAAAGGACTTCTTCTATTTCTCAAATTAGAAAAAAAAAGAGACCTCTTCTCCCTCATTCAACCCAAACGTTGGCTATCCAGTCTGCACTCACAGTGGCTCTCATTGCGACTGATGGGTTTTTTTTGTGGTTTTTTTTTTTTTTTTCTGGGATGTACCAAAAACCTTTGAGTAGGTTCAGAATAGCTGGCCTCTCCCTAAACTTCATGACCCTCCCAGCACCTAGCAGAGCTGGGCGGGCCCATTCTTGCAGTCACATTGCTTAGTCAGTGCTGTGATTTTTCTTTCTAGAGACCTTGCTTAATCTTCCATATATTCTGCTCAGGGCACTTGCACTTATTAGGGTTTTCTTTTTCTTTTATTTTTATTGTGTGTCTTGTTTTAATCTTTGATGGTAAGAGGACTAGGAGGCCACCGCAGGGGTGCTGGGTGGCACGATTTACAACAGCTCCCATGAGCTCAGACAACACATGCACCACTTTCTGGCTTATTTCGGGGATTGAACTGACTGTATTCACTAAACCGACACTAAAATAGGTAAACACACAGCTCAGAGCAATAGGAATATCATAACTTTTGTGGTTCTATTTCAGGTATAGGAATTTAAAAAAAAAAATCATTGGTTCTTCTAAAGCATTTGTCCCATTTCATTCTCTCATTCTCTTAGCATGTGCAATACTTTGTGTGCCAATAGTGAGCTATCTAGTTAAAGTTCATTCCCTGTGGGCTTTTTCCTTGTTCTGTGGGTCGACCTTCCTTCCCCTTGCTGACCAGAGAAACACTGGTGGGAAGGAGCCAGGAGAGGCGAGCCTTCTTGCTTTCCCTTAATGTGGATCCAGAGTACTGGGGTAAGGGAGCTGTGTGTCTGTCACCAGGACATAGAGTCATCCATCCAAGGAGACCGGAGGGAAACGCTTGCTGAGAAGGCCCATCGCTCTGCACTCTGCGAAGGCCCTTCACTCTGTAGTGAACCTGGAATGCGCCAAGGAGGCAGATGGTTCCTAGAACACGCTCTGGAGCCGTGTGGGCTTGGAGCCCACTTTTCAGTCTCTTCCGGGTCCTTGAGACTTGGCTCTCTGCCTTTGAGCACCACCAACTTACTGCATATCTGCAAACGTGCGTGTGTTCTGAGCATGCACACCGGTGGCTTTGGAGGGGACCACCTGGCAACCACAGTCACCATTTCCTTGTGACAGCTTTCTCCTCAAATAGGAAGAGCACACAGAGGCAGGAGCCACCTCTGGTTTGCAGACACTAGGGGGGCCCGCCAGACTCCTGGGGCAGCTGCGGTCACCCTTCTGTGTAGGGAGCACAGTCATGGCTGTGCCATCGGCAGACAAGGATCAGCCACGCGCCTCTGTACCTGTCCTCTTGGCAATATTCTACCAACAGTTGTCTTTCATTCTCTCTTCCTGCTTTCCATTTTTTAACAAATAACAGCAGGCCTTTTGCGTTTACAATGGAACACAATCACCAAGAAATTAGTCAGGGCGACGAGAAAACATAGTAATATTACTAATAAGAAACCAACAAACAAGAACCTCTCTTTATAGGGATTTCTAAATATATAAAATGACTGTTCTTTAGAATGTTTAACTTTAGAATTCTTTCAGTTTGTCTGGGCCACCTTGGGGGTCAGCAGGGGGTGGGGTAGGGATTGGGAAGAGAAGGCCAGGGATGCCACTTACCTCAAATCTTTTTAGAAGTGGAAATCCCAATTGCATTTTTTTTGTGGGGGGGAGGGGCTTGCAGGATAGTTGTCTATGTTGGTCACATTTTGCTTTTCTCAATTCTTCCAGCTCAGTTTGGGATGGCCGGATTCTTATGGTGGTGGTGGCAGCAGAACGCCCTTAACTCTGAATTCTGACCTTGTATGTTTTCTGTTAGGTGAGCTTGTTGGGTTCCTCCCCTCCTCCCTGACCCCCACCAGGAAGTGGCAGCATCCTTCCTTCCCCCCTGCAAGGAACTCTGCGGAACCTTTCACACCTCTTACTCAGGGATGGGGCTGGTGTGTGTGTGGAACACGGACGTGTTCAGCAACAGCACTTTGGACTGCTCTGGAGTAGGGTTGTACAATTTCAAGGAATGTTTGGATTTCCCCGCATCGTGTGGATTGCTCCTTAGCTACTGCACAGATTGCAATATAATGCTGCACGTTCAAGACGAACAGTAGCTCCTAGTGATCAGAAAATCCACTCTTTGCACATAGTTTGATCTTTACTGAAATACGTTGCCAAAATCTGTTTTTGTTGTAGCTTTGAGTTTTTCTTTCTTTTATTTTTTTTTAAAGGAAACAATTGACAATACCCTTTAACATCTGTGACTACTAAGGAAACCTGTTTTGTAGATGCTTTTGAAGACACTAACACCTATTTCTGACATGGGTGAGGAGGCAGAGCTCTCGGGATAGAAAGCCAGACTTTTTGAGCTGTGTTGGTTGGCATGGCAACTGTTTCCTGAGCCACAAGCCACTCAACAAACTGGTCTGTTTTGTCCTGGAAACCCTCTGCCCTTCCAAAATTTCCTAGTCGGTCCCCTTGGACTCCAGGGGAATGCAGGGCCTCAGTCTCCAGGGCCCAATCCAGTTTCTTTGGTGGTTGAGATGAAAGGCAAGAGAATTATACTTTGTTATTTTCTAAAAGTGGAGCAAAGGCCTTTGCTTCCATGGTTGTGTTTTGAACCCAGAATTTCTGAAATAGAGAATTTAAAGACAAATGGAGTAATAACTATAGAGAATCTACTTTTTTATAAAGCACATGCATATGACCTGTTGTGTTGGGTTGGGTTCCTCCCTTTTCCATGGACAGTGCTGTGTTTCTGTTCCTATGGCAACTCCAAACAGTTTGCACATCTTCTACTCTGGAGCTGAGATTCCTTTCACATAGATGACCTCGCTTCAAACGTTACCTTACTTACTGATAGGCTTTTTTTCTTGTAGCACTATACCTTGTGGGAAGTTTTTTCTTTTCTTTAAAGTACACCTAATTTGAGCAGCCAAAGGGGGAGGGGGATGGGAGATTTCTTTTTTTTTTTTTTTTGAGGCACTCACTTTGGGGAGTACAGATAATTTTTTTTAATTGCACAAAAGAAAAATGAATGTTGAGATGATTCATTCAGTGTTTGAAAGAGACAGATCTGTTGGAACCGTGAGTTTCATATTTTGTGTGTAAAAAAAAAAGACAAAACAGAGGAGGGATGAAAGTTACATGTTTTGGGGTTTTATTTTTCTTGTATATAGGAATTTGTCGTCTTGATGATCCAATTTGTATGGTTATGGCCTGGAAGAATTATGACGTCAGCGGCTCTTCAACTATACTATACCTATGCTTACTGTTCTGTTTTTGTTACGTGCGGTTCTTGTGTGAAGAATGGGAAATTGTATTCCACTATTTGAGGATACTGTCCATTCCTAGGCCGGAAGTACTTCTCTAAGTTCCCTTCTTAAGCCATTGCAACTTCTTTTCTTTGGATGATGTCTGACATTTTCAGCACTTCCTGTTCCTATAAACCCAAAGAATATAATCCTGAACATGAAGTGTTTCTATAAGGGATCCTCCTTCCCAGTAAGACAGGACTCGCATAGGGACAAAAAAGAAAAAGAAAAGGGGCTTTCCTTCTGCCTCCCACCCCATGCCTCATTTACATGGGGGTTAAAAACATCAATTCCAATTTGAATGCCTGGCTTTCATTTTGATGTTTCTCAAGTAGAGGCCAGAAGAAAGGCGGCAGAGCGGTTTGTCAGAGTTAGATTCCTGTTCAACAGTTGAGCTGGGTGGTTCAAATCGGACAGTTTAAGGGCAGTAAGCACACCCTAGTTTTGATTCTTAAATTTGGGTTTGGGTCCCCTCCCGTACTGTGCCAGTCTTGTAGCTGACATTCACCTTGACCGAGGCAGAAGAGGGGACGGTAGCTTCAGCTCTTCACATCCCGACTCTTGCATACAGGAGCTTCGCCTGTATCCCATGCCATGAGTTTGGCCATTAGGTAGCATCTACACAAATCAGTCTACAAGAGCTCCCCTAACACCCTTTAGCTGAAAGGACTCAAGTCTTCAGCTGCAGAACACTTGCAGACTCCATCCACTCAATGTTTTCTTGTTCCTTTGCTGTCTGGATGGGCAGTCTGAAGGCCTGTGTGGGAAGAAGCCCTGTTTACAGTAACCCTTACCAAGATACCGCACTGTCCCCTAAGACTACCCAGCTGAGATGACACTGGCTTAGAACTGTTGTCTTGAAAGATAAGTTCCCAAGACGGATGGTGCCTAGGTTTCTCTTGGTTCTTACCCACGCCACCTACTCTGAAGTTATTCTCTAGACCAAGAGTGGGATGAAATGTTGAGTCAGTGAGGCATAACCCTGACAACCCACCAAGGTCCTGGTCCTGGTCCTTCTCTGTGACTACTGCCCCTCCCCCACCCACACCGCTCAAGTGTAATTCCCGGGTGGTGCCGACTGAAAGGGGGTTGCAACAGAGTCCTGTCAGTATTTGTGGTGGCCTTTCAATAAGACAGTCTTCATCTCTAACCAGTAGAGTCCTGGCCCTAAAGAACCTGAGATCCGAACCAGCGAAGGTTTTCACATCAGGTTCCCAAACCCTCCAATTTCCATTCATATGCCTCCCACAGGCCAAGGGGAAACACACCAAAACTTGGGCTGAGGGTACTATCATGTGGAGAACTAGGGAAAAAAAAGTTTTTTGCACCTTATTGAAAAGAAACTTTTAAGTGCATACATAGTTAAGAGCTTTTATTGTGACAGGAGAACTTTTCCATATGCGTGCATACTCTCTGTAATTCCAGTGTAAAATGTTGTACTTGCACTAGCTTTTTTAAAACAAATATTAAAAAAATGGAAGAATTCATATTCTATTTTCTAATCGTGGTGTGTCTATTTGTAGGATACACTCGAGTCTGTTTATTGAATTTTATGGTCCCTTTCTTTGATGGTGCTTGCAGGTTTTCTAGGTAGAAATTATTTCATTATTATAATAAAACAATGTTTGATTCAAAATTTGAACAAAATTGTTTTAAATAAATCGTCTGTATACCAGTACAAGTTTATTGTATAATACTCGTACTAATAATAAAATAACAGTGCCAATTGCAAGCCTGCGTCTTTGTCTTCTCTTGGGTCCCTAACCAAAACCGTGGCTGAGAAAACTGTGTGGGTTCCTCCTCACTGCCTTGGCCACGTCGCCTCAGTTCACCCTGGGGAGACCGGTGGCGGGCAGTCATGTGAGGCATGGATGTCCCTAATCTGCATCTCCTATCTGCTCACCATCCTAGGTTTTTCTTCTCAAATGACTGGCAGCTTCGCACCTTCGGTGGCATGATCAATGCAGGCTCTTCAGCTTTGCTCCAACGGGTAAGTGACCTGGAGCTGGTGAGCATGCTCCCCCCGTGGTGCGTGCCTCATGGAGACCTGTGGAGCAAGTCTTCTGGCACAAGAAGCCGCTTCCACGCTTGTCTCGAGAAGACCGTGCACAGGTTGGTGTTGGGCTCCGTTTTGGAAAGATGTGGCTCAGCCGTTGCCTAGACAAGCCACGCCTCCAGGAGCAGCCACCCCCAGGTATGTCCTGTCCTGCTCCCACCCACACTCGTGCCTACGGAGTTCTCTAATTGAAATCTGAGCTCACCGGGGAGAAGGAGAATGCCAGAAACAGGTCAGAGTTCTCACGTGGCTGGGGAAGAATGGGAACTCTTGGCTTCGACTTTCGTCTTGGTTATATCTTTGACCTATCCAATTGGGACGCATCCCAGCAAACCAGGCCACCCAGCAGCACGGAGTCCCCGAAACAAGGATTTGGGGTTCTCCATACTGTATTTTAGTGTGTGGCGGTGGAGGGGGTACTCTCATGCCAGGAAGCCTCAAGGGACCAGACTAGAAGCGTTACCCCGGTGTACGGTGGGGGCAAGCTCTCTGTCTGCTCACTTGAATAGATGATGACGACAGACTGTTTGTGGCTAGGAGAACGCAAAAGGCTGAATAGGAAACACACAGCTTGGTGTGTTACTCTGAGGCATTCCTCGAGACTCGAAGCAGCCTTGCACCAGTCTGAGACCAAAGGTACCACGTCCCCACTTCCTTACTCCAGGACTGTGCTTGCCTTCCCAAAAAAAGATGCTCCCCGATAACTGTCACCTAGGAGGGCAGATGCCCACACTGATTGCTCGGCTTCCCTGTCTACAGCAATGTGAGCAGGCAGCCTCACGCTGTCACAGTCACTCATGCCACCACACCTCCCAGTCTATCACAAGAAGTCCCATACATACATGGACAACAGGACTTCTCTGTCCATGTTGTAGTAAGTGCCTGAGCTGAAGGATGTTCACACAGGGGGTCCTCTAGGCCCATTACATCGTGGACTCGCTCCAGCAAAGGGAATGTGTGCTCTGTTGCTGAAGCCTCTGCTCCAAGATGATCCTTGGTATCTGGAGCTTTCCAAGAGCTTGGCCATCATCTGCCTAGAACCAGATGGCAATGGGCGGGCCTCTGGGTGTGTAAAGCCATTAGTCTGCAACAGTGCTTATAGAGAACAGAGATGAGCAGCCTGTGATGCTGCGAGGGAAGGAAACAGAAGCTCAGGGCGGGAGCATGCTGGATACATGGCATGGCACCCTCAGAGCACTGTGCCCCACAGTGGCACATGCTGCAGTGTTAACCCAGGAGCCAGGCCTAAGAAAGACACGGGTGACACATAGTTCATGACAACACCGGAGGTTTGGAGAAAGGCACAGGTCCAGACAGACCTTTCCTTACAGCTGTGTCAAGTCCACTTTAATGGATTTAAGCGTTCCTTTTCCTCTCACTCACTCTAGGCTCATTAAACTGACCTCGGGGCTAAAAGATGAAACCCGTGCTCCAGAGAGGTGGACCCTTGACCCAGATGGAACAGAGAGGAAGTAGGGTCCTCCAGACAAGTGCCACATCTCCTTGGCATTGCATAGCCTCTTGTGCAATGGCTTCGTGGCGGTTAATCTTGTCAACCTGTCTGCGTTTACAGTCACCAAGGAAATACACTCAAGGGCGTGTCTGTGAGGGTCTTTCCGGAAAGGCTTCACTGAGAAGGGAAGACCCAACTGGAAAGTGAGGGGCACCATACCATGGGCTGGGGACCTGGACTGGATAAAGGAGGTGGGGGAAAAGCAGATGGAGCAGGAGTCGGCAGTAATCTGATTTCCTGCTTTGTAAACAAGCAGCCTGTGTTGCTGGTCACAGCTGCCAGCCACTCCCATCCTTGCCCACCACGGTGGTCAGTATCACTTGAACTTTGAGCTAGAAAAAATTCTCTTCTCCCTTAGGCTGCTTCTTCCAGGTATTTGGTCATAGAGTTGAGAAAAGTAGTGAACACATCCATCACAGAGTCCTCCCGAGTACGACCGTTTACATTTCTACGGGTATAAGAACAACTCTTCTGGCCTTGGGAGCAGGGGTTGGAGAAGGGTTCAGAATGCAAACCTCCCAAACTTTAACTACAGCCTTAAAAATACCAGACTAGAAGTGGGCGGGCAATCCCCCGTGGACTGGTGTGACTGGATCTTTCCTACAGCATCAGGTAGTGTTGACACTGGGCAATTAACTAGCCCTCGCTCAGCAATAGCAATCCTTAGCCACTCACGTCACACTTGCCTTTTCAAAGAAAACATTCCTGTGCCTGCTGATGGGCCTTGTTAGCAAAACAACCTAGCCTTCATGGCTATCAGTGCTCGACAGACACACTGCAGGACAGCTCTCGGGGCTAAGAGGGGCCTTTTACCAAGAGGTCCCCCTTACCAACCAGTAATGGCCACTCTACTGTAGAGCGACCTGCTTCTTCCCAGGCAGCATCAGTACAAGGGACTTCCTCTAACTCCCATTTTAAGCCCCTTTAGGCTACAGAGCACTTGGTTTTCAGCAAGGATTTCTTCATCATCTCCTAAAGCATCTGTAGGACTTCAAGATGGTTTGTAAGCTCTTGGAGAGGGGCCAGCCTACCTGAGCTGAAGCAGGAGGATGGCAGGTTTGGGGTCAACCTAGACTAATAGCTAGATCCTTCCTGGATGCTCTTCTAGAGGACCTGGGTTCAATTCCCAGCGCCCACATGGCAGCTCACACCTGCCTGTAACTCCAGTTCCAGGGGATCTGACACCCTCACACCAATGCACATAAAGTTAAATTATTTAAAGAAGAGGGGCTAGCCTTCAGGTTAGGACTGAGAAGGGAAAGAAAAAGGTTTGGTGGGGTCTTTGTCTGTGACAAAACTATACAAGAATCTAAGACAGGACAGGCTTGCTAGCTACAAGCAGCTCCAAACAGGTAGGGAGAAAAGGCCTGTTCCCAAGAAGGACTTCAGCAGGAGCATGGGCAGGATTCCTCAAGTCCATCGACCCCACCCATTGCATTATTTTCTTTTTAGCAACAAAAGCTGGAGGCAGTAGGTGGGGTGTGAGTTGCTTAGGCTCATGCCACACCTTTTCCCCAGCCAGGCGCCTTGTGTGTTAACAGTTGAGGGTCACTTACCTGGCTGAGGAGGCTTTCCCAACTCTAGCGACTCTACACAACCATGCTCCTGAACACGCAAACTCCAGCACTCAATCAAGACCACAGCCTTCTATTGAAAGTGAAACCATTGTCCTTTAGAAAGAAAGCAAGGTGGAAGGATAGGGTACAAGGGTTGGTTGAAACGAGGAGGCAATGAGTTCTAGGTGCTGGCCCAGGGCCCCACAAGCACCCTGCTTCTGGGCTCCACACAGGCACCAGGGCAAGCCCCAAGCCCTCTGGGTGCAAGATCGGGACAAGGACTGGATGTCGGTATCAGCGGTGGCACTGTCCCACCATGCAGAGCAGCCAGCCCGCTGGGACAGACAGGAAGAGGACAGGAGAAGCATGGTCGGAGGTGGTTTCCACTCCGCTCAACACCTCTGCATCCCTGAGGTTAGCCGAACACTGTATTGTGCTGCTGGGTCACTCGGATGAAGGTCGCCCTCCTGCTCAGCTCTTTGAGCTTGGCAGCCCCGACGTAGGTGCAGGTAGACCGCAGTCCTCCGAGGATATCCAGAATTGTGTTTTCTACATCCCCTTTGTAAGGCACTTCCACAGTCTTGCCCTCAGAGGCCCTGGGGGGGGGAGGGGGAGGAGGGTTAATCCAGTTTGCTTTCCCTTAATCGCCCAGGTAGAATTATCCCCGCTATAGCTTTCATTTTGTTGACAATGTCATACATGTCGATGATGTATTTTGGTCATTTTTCACTCCCCATGATCTTCTCTTATCCTGCTCCTGCTCCCACCAAAGCCCCTCTCTTTTCTCATCAGGGCCCCCTGTTTTCATGTCTTTTTTGCTTTATTGATTTGCTTGTGACCCACTGAATTTAATCCTTCATGCCAGGTTGAGGCTATTTAGCAGAGCATGGGTGCCTTACAGTGGTCACACCGCTGAAGAAAATGGCTGCCCCCCCCCCCAGCAACCATTGGCTATAACTCCTTGGAGATGGGTGGGGTGGCATGAAGTCCTCCCCCATCCAGTACAGGTCTGATCCATGTGACAACAACTTCAATGGGTTTATGAGGCCAACAGTGATGGTATATCCACAGGATGGTGTTTGACCACACTCTGCCATCTTTACCAAGTCCCTAGCAGATGGTATATTCCTCCAAGCCGAGAGGAACTTCTCTACTCAAAGAAAGAGAAGTCATGGTTAGCAAGACAGAGATGGAGACACCTGCCCCCACCATCCCCAGGAATGACATTCTCCTTGGTATTAGCAATGTCCCTCTGCTGTTATGGCTCCTATTGGGACCAACCACCAAATAGCCAATATCCGAATTCCTCCCTGGGAAAAACAGACCCACTAGGTCACATCCATCCATCCTTTTTCACTGATAGAAAAAGCACAGAGGTCTGCTCTCCTCAGCACCAGCCCTGTGGATGCTAAATGTCCTCACCATGGACAACACAGGCCTGCCTAGGACATATAGAAAGTCTTGCCCTGAAGATGGAGTGACCGCACACCCTCCAGCCTACCTGTCCTTTGCCAGGTTCTAGCACCCACCAGCTCCGTTTGCTCCCATGTACCACCACACCCGTTGCTCAGAGCCAGGGGAGAGCTTTATGAGTGGGGAGCCCTCAG